TGCGGCCTTGCTAGGCTTGGCTCACCCCTACTGACCCTCCCCCTGAATACGTGAAAGGAAAGCTAAATCCGGCTCCATGTGCTCAGGCTGGAAGTGTCTAGAACAGCCTGCTAAGGCAATGAGTGGGATTCTCCCAGGGCTGGCTTAGCAAAGCCCGCATCCAAGGGCGTCTGAGAGCTTTTCTGTGCGGAAGAGCTTGTCACTGGGSGGAGATCGGCTTCCCCCTTATCAGCAGGAGCGCCCCAGAGCAAAGCTTACGGGACGCAGAAGCGCCCGGCCTTGCCGCCCGCTCGGCAGCGTGCAGCCCTTGGCTCCGTGCTCGGTTTTGGGGTGTCGCTGGCCCCAAAACGAGCTCTGCCTCATGTGCTGCCTGGAGCAGCTTCACTCAGAAGCACAGACTTTATTTTCCCCTATGTAAGAGCAGCCCTTGGATCCGGCCTGCGACACTCTGGGCAACAAAAAGCCCTTGTTCCCAAGCGCGCTGCGCAATTACGCTGCAAAGGAGCACCTGCCGGTGCCAAGGAAAACAGGGAGCCGCCAGAGGGGAAGCGGCTCCTGCCAGCCATGTGTCTTAATCCAGATCATCAGGATGAAGCCACTAAGTGGGAGTAACTTCTTGTTTAAAGTGCTGTTGAGTGCCCTGGTAGGACACGGGCTGCGGCCCCCGAGGTGGCTGTGGCAGCCCGRAGCTCCTCGAGCTGTCAGAGGGTGGCTGATTTAAAGCCTTTCCCCTTGAAGCTTCTGCCTGGGACATTTCCTGCATTTTCCACAGTGGAGGGGCCTTGGGGGGATTTCTGCCRCGGCGGCTGGGCCCGTATCGCAGCAGGGCAGGACGTGGCGGGTGCGTTGTGCGTGTGTCCCCTCCCCAAGGGCGCATCTCGCCCCTCACGTCTCCAGCTCCTTGGGTGGAGGAGCGGAGCTGCAGGAAGATTTAGGAGGCGCAGAAACTTGCGGGAGCAGCTTCACAGTGTGAAGTGTCGGTGCGCGGAGGGGAGCCCCAGGCTCAGCCCTTCCTGCGGGAAGCAGCAGTCGGAGCTGATTAACCCCAGGGGACCATTAAGGCAGGATGCTTCCCCCAGTGCTGCAGAGCACAGCTACCGTTCAGTGAAACTTGGGTGGGTTCTTATAGAACCCCACATGATTCATTCTGAGCGCTTACAGCTAGWTTTTTATAACTTAGACCAAGTGTCTGAAGCCTTCCTTTCCTGCTAGTGGAAAAAATCTGTTCACCTTATTTAAGTCTGCCCTTTTCTTATCATTAATTCACACATTGTTGCTGGAGGAGGGAGCCCTGCCAACTATGTGCTCTTGGAGAGTAAGATATTTGCAGAGGCTCTGGGTCTATTATATCTCTGTCATCCTGTAGGTTGAAATCCTGTTGAAATAGTTTCCTCAGATATCAGAGCCTTTCCCTGGGCTTTGTGTAGTGCCAAAATAAAAGGCAATAAACTTCTCCCTCTGAAAAAATGCAATATCAATTAGTGCTTCCAGCTTTCCAGATGAGGCTGCCTCTGTCACAGACAATTTTAACTTCAAATTCTCTCTCTATGGGATAAGTTAAGATGGGGGCGGYGGGAAAAGATGGGACTTGCCAAAGACAGCTTTATGATTTGGGTAGCTAGGCTTGCTTACTGAGTCCAGTAGGGAAATAAGTTCCTTCTAGGTCATGTTTAAACAAATGCTGATGAAAACAAAAATCAGAACTCGTCTTTGCTGTCAGAATCAAACCAATGATAGCAGCCAGTTCCTGTACTGCTTCGTCCCCTGTCAAGCGTTGTCGGTCACACATGCATGAGCTTGTTGTGCTGCGAACTGTTGAGGGCTCATCCTGGAGGGAAGCAGCATGGAATTGCCCTGTGCAGCACTGAATTTTCTGCTCTGAGAATAGCCTGCTCCTGCACGGGGCTGGTTTTCGGCGGTGGCTTTGCGGGGCTATCCTGAGTGCCAGCCCCATGCTCTAGGCTGTGGAGCACGGCGCATGGACCTGCGCCTGGCCTGGTATTGTTGCTGGGATCAAGGCTTGTCTCAACATGGGGAGAGCACCCGAGCAAAGTGCTGGTAATGGGAATGCTGCAGGGTGCAGTGCTGGCTTGTGGCCTGTGGGCGAGTGCTGACCACAGCCATGTGCTGCCTGTGCTTGTCCCCGTCCTCCTGGGGTCCCCAGGGTCCTGGCACCCCCGGGGGCTGCCTGCCCCCGTGCCCAGTGCCGGGAGGGCATCGGGAACGCCGAGCTCTGCAGCGGCGCCTTGTGCGGCAGCTTCTGCCCCGGGCGCTCAGAGGCAGCTTGAGTTAGAAGCAGGTGAGCCCTTCCTTGCAGACTTTTGAAAAGATTTTGGGAAAACTGGAAAACTATGTAGGAAAGTGCCGAGTGCAATGGGTTACTGCTCCAGATTGTGGATGGAGAAGCTTGAGGCCAGACTCTTGAAAGGAGGTTTCCTGCCRCGCAGGAGGGGAATGAGCGGGACTGCTGTTGTGTGCAGTGGAAGGCCCTTTGGTSAGGGTTGCAGGCACAAAAATAATGAGATTTATTTAGATATCTATGCAGGCATTGTGTGGATTTCTTTGCCTCTCCTATTAGAACATGTGGACTAAGCTTTTAATGCAGTTAACTGAGTTTTTGAAACAGTTTGCAGTATTAGGTTTTTGGAGTTTTCTTCAGTTTGTCTTGTGACTGGTGAGTCTCAGGGTGGCTCAGCCTCAGAACTGCTGTGCTGCACCAGTGCCTTCAGCAGCTTCACCTTGCCGCTTGTTACTGCGTTTCATGAGTCTTTTGTATGAACATTTCATGTTCTCACATATTGCAAAGGGGCTCATCCAAACAAGCAGTCACAACTTGACTGATGCAGCCCTTCACAATTTGGGAAAAATCTCTGTTTTGAAGCAGGTATCTCAACCTGCTTTCTCTAMGCACCTGCTTTTCAGATTGAACTAGGGAAATGTAGGTATGAATAAGAATGTATGTCATGAGTTTGTTAGTCCAGAGGGAATATTCCTACTTCTACATAGAATACACTAGGCTCACTATAGCTATTTGAAGCATTGTTACCTTATGTAAGTCTCCAAATAATGCCCAGTCCATGTGCAAATCTTTAAAGGAAGCTCGATTCCGCTCCWTATTCTTCCACAAGACTAGCTCTATAACATAAAAACATGATCTAAATGAAGACCAATTAATTCCTATCAATGATGTTCCTAAAGAACTGTSCTAGGCAGGCTAGTCCCATGTTGATTCCATGCTGCTCTTCCTGCCTTGTTGAAGGGGCTGTTTCGGAGTTGGAGCCGCTGATGCCCGCTGCAGCGGGAGGATTCCTGCTGAGCGCTCCGACGTCCTGCAGCTTCCTGGGGCTGCTCTGCCCCGGCCGTCGCTCCCCGGAGCCGCGCGGAGGCCTGGGCAGGGGGACAGTCTTCTCAAGGCCACCCCAGGGGCGCTAATGCCACCCAGCCTTGGTGCTGGTGTTCCTCAGCCTGCCCACCGAGGAAGGTGAGACAAGGCCCTTGGCTCTGAAACGCTGCTGTGAACTTGTGGGAAGGTTTTGGAAACCAGCTTTTTCTGTTCCCTTCCTAAAAAGGAGGGAAAAGCCATCCTTGAGGTGGCTGGGTATCTCCATGGCYGTTTGCAGGCTCCAAATAAGGTGCTGTGCAGTCGGTGCTGCCGGGGTCCGCAGCTCCTCGCCCGGCGGCAGCGCCAGCTTGGCACTTGGTGCCCATGTGCGGGACACGGGCTCCGCTGCCAGCCTGCGCCGTGGGCACCGTGCTCCCTGAGCACCGGCAACTGCTCCAACCACTGCTTTGTGCCCAACACGTAGACCAGCCTTCCGGGGAGGTGTCCGGCCTTTGGAGCTTGCAGAGGCTTTGATGGGTAACTGCGCTGGCCAAGCTTGCCAAGACTGAGTCTCACTCCAGGCTTGAGTTCCTCTGTGCTCCCTGTGCTTGGGACCGCTGCAGGAATGGGTGCTCCTACTAGTTCTTGCCCTACTTCTGGACACACTTTCCTGCCTCCCATCTGCAGCAGGAGTGATGATCCTGTGGCCATGAGCAGAGCGGGTTGCTCCTCAGCAAAGCCATGGTGACAGCTCATGGAGCGCAACCAGGTGGCTCCTTGTCCCGTCTTCCCTGCAACCCCCTGCCCGTCACGTGTGACTTGGTGCTGTTGATGTGCAGCCACGGAGGAGGAGAGGACATTGGTGGCTGGGCTGGCCGCTGGGTCACTTGGAGGGTTCTTGACCGTGGTATTTTTGGGAGTGGATGGACCTGTGGTGCATGCAGAGGGGCTGAGTTCTTCCTGCTTGCTCTTGAGATGTGTGTGTCTCCAGACATCTCATTAGTTATTTTGGCCACAGTCAAGAGAACCCAGGCYGTGCTGTCAGTCCGTCTGTGTTCCTGACCCTGGGAAAGTGAGTGTCTAAATTAGAGCAGGAATGAAAGACCCTGTGAACATACTGGGATGGTCTTTAAAGCAGGCTGAGGTGGTAGACAAGTACAGCCCAAATGATGCTCCATAGAATGGGTTTCCTTCAGTTCTGGTCTGATGCAGGGCAAAGCCTGGAGCTGGAGGCTGCCTGCAATAACCTCTCCTGGTGCTTGCGCTCCGCTTCTGTGCGCAGCTCTGGGGAGCAGTAGGTGACTCTGCAGTCCCCCATGGGTGGGCATGTGGGAACCGCGGTGCGGGGCAGCTCTCCTGTGCTGTAAGTGCCCTTAATGACAGCCCTACTGCTGGGAGATGCCTGTTTCCTTTCAGGGTGTTTGTTTTCCATATGCAGAATCATTATGTATTTTTTATGGTTAAGTGGTGATCCTTGGGGTGCATATGTAGGAGAAGGGAGGACTGAAAGTCTTCCAGGTGGCATKTTCAAGCTGCATCCCTGACAGATAAGGATCTGATCCTGGATCTGGATGTTCCAGTGAATGACTTCACAGCTGGAGCCAGCTCCACTTTCCCGTTTCCACCTTGTTTTTGAGTGGCTTTATCCAGCCCCTGGTCTGTGCTGTTGTTTCCTGACATGCCGCAGGCTTCTGATGGAGATCAGATCGACTTATCAAGTCCACCTTGGCCCTGCCCCGTGCRTGGCCAGAGAGGTGGCGTGAGGAGCAGCCTGACAGCCAAAGGAAGGGAGAAAGGCCTGGGCCTCCCTAGAGACCAGGGCTGCTCTGAGGCCGTTTGCCTCCAGCCACCTCAGCAGCAGGTTCCTCAGCGAAGGTGGGTGAACCCAGCAGGCTCAGGTCTGCTCTGGCACCGTGCTCGAGACCCTCTGCAGCTCAGCAAGGGCCTTAAGGGAAAGCAGAACATCATGACTGAGTCCTAAGCGTACAGAGATTATCCCAGGTGCTGTGTAAGAGCCTCTGGATTTGGGAATGACCTGCAGTAAAGCAACCTCCACAGCAAGGAGGATGGGCTGCAGACATGTTTTCCTGCCTTGTGCAACTCTTCATCACTTCTGCGTTGTTGTTTTTTTTACATCTTTTCTATTCAACCTGGGAAGTTGTTTCATCTGGCACGTTCCTACTAGACAACGTTGCTTTCCACCACATCTTTTGTGCATGTTGTTTGCAAGTCCGATACCCTGGAGCTCACTTGAAGCCAGGTCTGTTCAATGGCTGATGAAAGACGATGGGAACTTGGCTTGAAGCCAGGTCTGTTCAATGGCTATTGCTTATGTGAGTGCTCCAAAGCTTGGAGTGAAACTTAACCTTTCAGTGCTGTCCAGGCAAGTGAACAGTCTTGGGACAAGAGGCCATTGGATTGAAAGAAATGTGCTCAGCACCTGTGATTGTGGCCTGCTTATTTTGATATTTACGYGCAGCAAGGCAAGACCACAAAAGAAAGTCTTGAGCAGGTCAGTGCTGATTTTCCTCGCAAGACAGGAGCAGGCAGAGTCTGCCCATGCTAGCAGTGCAGAGCACTGTGCGGAGCCCTGGGAGCGGGTGGGCAGCGCCRGGCACTGGCGCGCGGAGCCGTGTGGTGTGCGACGGGAACGTCGGGATTTCCCGAGCCCCAGCATTTCCCTGTGCCCCTGCCCTGCAGGGCAGAGCTGAGTTTGTGCGTGCTGAGGAGTCTGGATAATCGTGGGAAGCAGCAGCTCCCGGTGCCAGCTGGGGTCCCTGGCACTGCTCCTGTGCTCGGCCGTGCAGAGCAGGGCACAGAGAGGTGCAAGCTCCAGCAGGGTCTGCATCCCCTTGGAGCCACTTACATAACCATGGGAAGCGCCGCTCCTGGACACACAACCCTGGAAAGGATGGAGTGACCTCCCAGGGCCTGAGAGGCCCCTGAGCAGGGTCCGTCTCGTCAGACCTGCCCCTCGCCGCTGCCTCCCCAATGGGGTCYGAGCCCTAACGTGACGGGAAATGGTCGTCTGGGTTTTCTTCCTACTTTCCTTTCATTAGAGAGTCAACAGACTCTGTTTTCCAGCTGTTTCCTAAACTTGCCAGTGTCTCGGATGGCCCCATCTTTGGCCCATGTAGTAGATCATGGTGTAACGCTGGAGCTGGCATATTCCTGGGATTGTTCTGCGATGTTTTTGTGGGTAGAATGGGCTCAATTTTCTGTCATTTCACTAGCTAAGAATTTCCTCTGCACAGACCAGCTTTCTTTTTTAATGGCAAGAATGCTGTAATATACAAAAAGCCAAAATAGAAATCTTAAAACTCATTGTATCTCTAGCCATGGTGACCAGAACTTGCTTTTCTTCCAAGCAGTTTGTTGACACAGGCATTTTTTAAAGGCATTATAAATTTCTCTGAACTCATTTCACTTCTCTTATATCTCCTCTTCTAATGCAGTGTTTTGAAATAGTCTTGGGCATAGGTGGAGTCGAAGATAGTCAGCGAGCATTTGTTTCACATTATCTTGCCGGCTTTGTTTTTTTTTTTTTGCTGTGTCTTATGCATCTCTTTTTAAAAAAGAATCTCCTTTTATGCATATTCTCTGCGCGCGAGGCGCGAGCAGTGCGGAGCTGTCCCATATGTGGGCAGGAGGCGGCGCGGGCAGCGGGGCTGTTGTGCTTGGCCCCTGTGCAGCCCTGGGAATCAAGAGCAGCTCCTGCTCGCTGCGCCCTGCGGAGCAGGGAACGCGCCGGCCTCGGGGTGCCGCAGGGTCCCCGTGCAGGAAGGTGCCGCTGTGGAGGTGCCTTGTGCTGCTCCCCAAGCTCTCCTGGCTCCTCTCCTGGCTGCTCCAACCTCCCCTGTCCCATGGGACCCCAAGAGCTTGGACATCATCCAGGGGACCAGGAGCACAAGCCTGGGTTTGGGAGCTGGCGCTTGGGAGCTTTGGAGAACACGGGTCTAGTAGGTGCTTCCGTGGTGGTTAGATTAAGGAGAAGGCAACCTCAAACCCGGACCCCAAACTTGAAGTAGAAGTCCTTTTGGGCAGGTAGAATAAAAGAAAAGTCCAAGTAATAAAGCACAACCCTGGGCTTGAATTCTGATCTGGAGCGGGGCTGGAGGCTGTCCAGTGTTTCGGGTTTGTACCTTGGAGCTCCCAGTGCGAGTCCCAAGTGTCCCCTGTCCGCTCGCGGCCCCGGGGCCGCTGCCGACCGCACTTTGCTGTCTGCTGCTTTCCTGTTTGGGCTGCACAATGTAACGTTTATAAATGAGGTTATTTAATCCAGATGTTTGTATTTTAAATAAACACTCGTGGTCCCTCGCCTCTCCTCGGCTTCTGTGTGACTCATTAAGATCGGAGCTGGTAAAAAGGTTGGTCAATAAAACGCTGTCGGCTCTGGAGCCGCGCTCTGCGGCAGGGCCGGGAGCCCTGTTCTGTGTTTGGTGTGTGGCACAGAGCTCAGTTAGACACGTGCTGCCCTGGGGCTGTACATGTGTCGGGATGGGCTGTGCATGCATGTTGGGGCAGGCTGTGCACGTGTGCCTGCACAGCGAGGCTGTCCCGGGCTCCGTCGCTGTRAAGCCCTGCGCTGACGGGTCCTTTTGCAGTGACTAGCGGGTACTTTCTGGCTGCAGTGGTTAATTTTACAGCCCCCAGGTTTGGTCTGCCCTGCCCTTCGGAACAGGGGTGCGGTGAGGTGCTCATCTCGCTTGTCCCGCTGCCCCGCGGTGGCAGGGAGGCCRGAAGGGCCGGGCCTGCGGAGGAGCCTGGCGATACGGGAACAGCTCCCAGCTCTGGGTCTGGTGCTGTAGGGAGCACCTCAACCCTGGCAACAAAAGGTCTCTTTGTGGTCACCTTTAATGGCAGAGGAAGCCCTTAGGCTGGAACTGTGATGCAGATGTGGGACCTGAGCCTGGGCCCCGCTCCCGCTGCAAGGGTTGCTGCCACCCGGGGCTCGAGCCCCTGGCATGTAGGCCTTGAAGCCAGGAGTTTGGGTTCTGCGGCCCTAGAGCCAGCTGTTTATAACTGCTCCATTCTTATTTGCAGTGCTACATTTTCCAAGTAAATTGTTTTTTATAYCCAAATGTCACCAAATAAACTCTTCTGTGGGGAATTGGTGGAACGCGGGCTTGAATGTCAGCAGMGATCTCCGTGGGCGAGCGGCACAGCCTCCGATAGCCGCAAGAGGCAGCGCGGAGGTTTCTTTCTTGGTGCAGCGTGGGGAGGCRGCTGGGAGCCTGTTCCCCACAGGCCGGCACCGCACAGGGCCCTGCCAGCCTCGCTGCCCTGCCGGGTCCCGGTGCATGAGGCACCCACCCTGGTAGCTAGCAAAGCTCCAGCTTATCCAGGAGCTAACCCGGAGCAGAGGGGCCGGGCACCCGCTGCTGTGTCTGGGGTCTCCTTAACCAGTGCTGCTCACGGTGTGTGACACGTTCTGCATCCCGGTGCAGCCTTGCTCGCGTGGGGAGGCCGGGCAAGCCGGCAGCCCGGGCGGGCGCCGCGGGGGCCTGGCGTGTCCGAGCCCCGGTGCCAGCCCTGTCCYGCTCTCTTGCAGATGTCGGGGGTGCAGCCGCCGCTGGGCCGAGGGGCGCCCTGTTCCCGCTGCCGGGGGCCRTGCCCGGGCTTCGAGCCGCACTCCTGGAGGTAACGGCCGAGCGCGGGGAATGGGGAATGGGGCACGGGCAGGGCGGCGGGAGCCTCGCGGATGAGAAGCTCCAAGCGGAGCCATCCTGCACGGGCTGGATCCYGGCGTTGCATGAGAACGTCCCTGTTCCATGGGGCTGCTGTGGGCATGGCAGGTGCCTCCTGTGTGGGGCATCCCGGGAGCAATGCGGGCCGGGAAGGGCATGGGGCTGCGCCCAGTGGTGCCGGGCAGCTTGTGGCTGCTGTGGAGGGGGAGAGCTCCTGGATGGATCCAGGCCGGAGCCTGCAAAGGGCCCCAGTTGTACCAGCACATACTGAGAAGAACAGACATGCAAGAGTGGCTCTACCGAGGGTGTTTTTCCACTTTTTTTTTTTTTGAGCCTGTTTAATGAATGTGGTGAGAGATGCTCAGACCGTTCCCGTTATTATCACCCATGGGTAAGGCTGTGTTGTGCCGCTCGGAGCCGGCAGCTCCAATGCCCATGAAGAGGCTGCCCGCTGTGCGTGCCGCGGGCTGCCATTCCAAACCTGCAACACTGCACAGCAGCTAAAACTGGTAAAACGGGATTTGCTATTTGCTTTTCTCTGGACAGGCTCTTTCTGTTCCAAAGCGCAGTGCCTGTGCCAGTGTTCCCTGCTGAAACACACAGCGGCCGGGGYGCGAGGCCGTGTTCGCTGCGCAGGGCGCTGAGCGGCCGGCCTTGCTGCACGTGCCAGCCCTGCTGGCACCCGCGCCCCCGCGGTCGGGGGTGCCCGCAAAAGGCCCCGTATGAGAGCCCAGCCGGTGCCAGCAGCGGTCAGGCCGCTCGGAGCGGGGAGCAGCCCCTGCCTTGGYCACAGGGTGCGGGTGTCACCGTCCTGTGCAGCTGGTGCAAGTGGAGCACAAAGTCACCTTGATTTGGGAGCTTGGTGCTGCAAGCTGTGCAGTGCTTAGGGTGGTTGTGGCAATACGCACTGTGCCAGAAAAACTCATTTCCATTTTTTTCTGTTAAGAAACACCACAAATTCAGGCAAATAGCTGCTACTGTCGGTAGCCGATGGAAGCCAGCCAAGTGGTGAGCCTCTTGTGTGCCCTGCTTGCTGGCAAATTGGAAATGGATGAGTGGAAACAAATGGGGCTTCCCAAGCAGAAGGGTTGCATCTAGATGTCAGTAGCTGAACAACACTTAGTGTCTCTGAGATGCTCTTGCAAACCCYGTGCTCATTTCTTTGAGCCCTGTGAACCCACGTTGTGCCACTTGCCACCGTGGCCTCCGGGCGTGCTGCAGTCTCTGCACATGGTGCTGCTTGTGGCACTGGATTTTGCATTGTGCAGCCTTGAGGTCTGATTTCAATGCCCAAGCTGCATGGCAATGCAAACCTCAAAGCTCACTTCATTCAGTTGCTATTGGTTTTTAATTCCATTAGAGACTAGTTTGAATCCTCCTTATTCAAGAATCATGCTGAAGTAGTTGGATGTGCATCAGAATAGTGTTAACCATCAGAAAATGGCCTCATAGACTTGCTTTTCCATTTTACAGCCATTATAATTTAACTAGACATTTAGGTATCAATTCCACTTCTAGGATTCTCCATTTTAATGGACTATAAAGTGCAGTAAGAGCAAAGGCTAACACTTTATAGCTGGAGACTGTGTGGTGAAGTTGGAGGATTAAAAAAATCACTTAAATTCCCAGGACGTCAGTGCTGCCCGCAGCAGGAGCGGTTTGTCAGYGTGGCCGCTGTCGTCGTGCCGGGATAGCGCTCGGGGTTTCATGGTTTTATATTCCCCGTGGCCGTGAATCTCTCCGGGACACCCGGAGCTGGGCTCCCGAATGCAGCTCATGCCACAAAGGGCTTTGGTCTTGTGTGGTGACCCTGGCTCCCGTTTAACCTTTCAAAGCGGCTGGGCCCTCTCACTGTCGCCCGCAGGAAAATATGCAAGTGGTGCAAGTGCAGCCAGGAGGATCACAGCCTGAGCTCCGACGCGGAYGACGACCGGAAAATCGGCCGCCTGCTGTCGGACTCCAAGTACGCGACGCTCACGGCCAGGGTGAAGGGAGGCGAYGGCGTGCGCATCTACAAGCGGAACCGCATGATCATCACGAACCCCATCGTGTCCCGCAAGGACCCCACCTTCGACACCATCACCTACGAGTGGGCCCCGCCGGGGCTCACCCAGAAGCTGGTGAGCTGCTCGCGGCGCGGTCGGTGGGCGAGCGGTRCCACTTGATTGGGAGCGTGGCTCTGGAGTGAAGTTACTGTGGAATGTGTTAAAACACAGCTTGCCTCGGAGCAAAAATGCGCATAATGTTTAGATTTTGGGGAAAACCGCAAAAMTAGCCCGAGTAGGTAGAAGAGAGGGGTTGGTTGCCTCTAGTGGGTTCCTGTGAGCTTGTTGCATTTCTAGGAGGAGTCTCAATGTGTTTTACAACCACARAGTTCACCGCATCGGTACAGTTCATGCCCAGAAAAACAGTGCTGAGCAGAGCCCACCTCTGTCATCCTGCCCATTGCACAGTGCCTGCAGAACCCACAGAAGCGTTTCTGTGCTCAAAACCCAGCCGCGTGGGAGCGTTTGCTGCCGGCCTTTAGCTCCTGATGTTTCTGCTCAGGGCTGCACTGTAGCTGGCTTTGATGTCCCATCGAGCGGGAGACATCCGGGTCTCCCCTGAAAGGCCGCTCTCCTGCAAGTCCACGTGCGGGGCTGCCTCAGTGGCCAGCACAGGTAGAGGCATTACCCCTGACATTGCCAGTAACCCGGGATTTTAAGCTAACACTTCAGCAAAGTAAACTTGAATCCATGTCTCAAAAGCAGCAAAAATCAATTGATGCGGAGAGTAGTAATGCAGCATGTAAAGCAATCGCTGTGTTTGTAAATTATTCTGTTTGAATGCTATGAAAATGGGCTTTAATGATGAGGGAGAAGTAACCATATAGTAGGTTTTCTGCTAACAGCAATAATGCTAGCCTTAACTTGAGCTGCTGTGCCTGTTATTAACCAGGAGTCTAACCACTATAGTTCTACCTTGGCGAGTCACCAACCGGCTCTAAACCCCACCAAATGCAGAATAATTTCCTGCTGAATGCGGTGTAATCGGGGCCCTTGGGGTAGCTTGCCACGGCAGTATCTACCCGGAGCCAAGACTCCGGCGTGCTGACAGCCTTTCCTTGCCTGTGGCTTGCCAAACCCAGCTAGGCAAGTGGCGCGTAGCCACCCGGAGCCCTGCGCTGCCGGGCTGGGAAGCATAGCTGCTGTGGCCACCTCGGGAATGACGATGGTCCCGGGGCTCCTGGAACGCCTTATGTGGTGTCCCTCCCCGTGGAGCTTTTCCTTTTCATGGAAAGGCATCGTCTCAATGGCAAGCATGCGTTGGGCACGGTCACCTGCCTCGGCGCTGACCTCAGGCGCCTCTTTGCAGCCCGTTGTCACCGTGCAGGAACGAGGGGGATTCTGGAGCACCTGTCCCGGGATGAGCGCCAGGCCTGCGGAGCCGGCGGGGGTGCCAGCCGCCCCGCGGTGCTGCAGGAGTGACTGGGAGGCTGTGCCCAGGCTGCAGCCTGCGCCCACAGCCCTCGGGTACAGGAGGGCAGGGACTCGTGGTCCAGCTGCCTTCCACCGATCCGTTTTTCTATCATTCTGCTGCATTTTTAGTAGCTGGGATTTTGGGGGTTGACTGTCATGGAGCTTCCAGGGAAGAAGGGAAGGAGGTGGTAGGACARCACACGCTATGTGCTAGTCCACACAGACTGGACTAGCATGGGGAGAGCACAGCTAGATGGGCATCCGCCTCCAGAAGCCTCCTGGCCGCAGCTTCCAGCCCATGGATACTAATTCCTGTTGTCTCTGCAGCGCAAGGCTGCGGGCAGAGCAGCCCCCCCAAACTCACCACTGGAGATGGGATTTGTTTTCCTTGCATCTTAAACAGTCTTGACCAAATAAGAATGACCTCCGGCTTRAAAAGGGCAGATAGCTCTCGTTCCACACCGCGGCATGGCTGGAAAGCAAGCAGACGTCCTGCCCCACGTTCCTTCCTCTTGGCGAGCGTGCAGTGCAATCATGGGAACGAGTGGAAGTGTTTTGGGGCGTGTGGAAGCAAGTCAGCCAGCGGYGGACTTCTTGAGGGAAAGTATTTAACTGGTTTTTAAACTGTATTGCAGGACTAAAAACATTACATATTACACTGGCATTAACAGACAGCTTTTGCTCTTCAAATTAAACAAATAGTTTAAAGCTGTTTAAAATTGCAACCAGATCTTTTTAAGAATTATTGAGGAAGGAAAAAAAAATGTATTTACATGCAGCTATAAACCAGGGTGACAGATTGAATATTAGTCTTTAACTCAGTTGCCTTCCTCTTCTTGGGGAGGTTGGCTGGAAGGGGCCTGTGGAGCCTATAGCAAATAATTGTGCGGCTGCAAGACCAGCTCGTGGTGCTAATTAGAACAGACTGCTGTGCTTGAATAGGGCACCAAGACTTCCACTTATTTGCCTGTCTGGCTGTTTAATCCTAGTGCTACTGCTGGTAGTGTTTTCTTTTTGTCTTTTTTTCTTTTTTTCCTCCTTTTTTCCCCTCCTTTGGTAAGGAGTGGCATGGCTGGAATTGCTGTGTAACCAATGTTTGCCTTCCTCAGGTCCCAGCGGGAATTAGGCAACTTGCTGAGGGATCCAGAGAACAATAATGGCAGTTCTCCAACCTAATGTGATTTAGAGCATCCCGCCCAGCTCCAGGCTTRTCAGAACCTGGATTTTCACAGCTCAGAGCAGCTGCCGAGCAGAGGTGGCACCTTCAGGCAGGGCCCTTGCCTCGCTGGCAGCACTGGAAGCCTGAATGTGGATGGGACTGTGCTCCTACCCCTGCAACTCATCCCTGGAGAGCAGTGGAATGGGATTCCTGCAGCGCTTGGGGCCGGGAGGCTCCAAATGGATCTTTCATGAGAGCTGCTGCAAATTGGCATCAAGTCTGAAGGAGCTGGGAGCAGCATATCTTAGCTCGAGGGGGGGAAAAACAAAAAACAAACAAAGGCTCGAGGACAACCTTGATGACGTCTGGCTTGCAGGTGAAGTTTCAGGAAAACTTCTGGGTGCCGGTGGTTCCATGGTGGCTGCAGAGGGACTGGGGCCAGCAAGGTGCTTGTGCGCAGRCGCCTCTGCGGCTTCCTTCCCAAGGCTTTATTGTCCTCAAGTGGATGCTCCCAGAATAGGAGGAAGTTCAGGACTTGTTTTTGTTAAGCAGGGCCTGGGTAAGTTATGAAGTAAATAGCAAGGTCCCTGGGGAAGTGAAAAGAGCAGCTGATAAAATGTCAGAGAAATGCAGCAGTTAGCACTGGTGAAATCTTGGAATGCTCTTCCTACAAATTGCTTGGACTAAGGCAACATCATAGGCCTTTAAAAGTAATAATGTGCTGTAACAGCAAACAAAACAGCCTTTTATTATCCTTCACTGCAGCTTTTGGTGTCAAGTTAAACTTTGTTTGCTCTGATCTATTCCCTAACCACATTTTATGACATCCCCAATTATAACAGCAGCATTCCCTGACCAGGAGCGAAGTTACCCAGTGTGTGTGGGCCAGGATGTCTGGGRTGCGTTGCAGCCTCTGCTGCTCCTGGGGCTGGTGTAGGTGTGCAGCACCTTGGCCCGTGCTCTCGGGGAGGGAGGGATCCCTTGCACGAAGACACGCTCTGCTCCTGCCCTGTGCTCGCAGGGGTTCTCTAGCACTGCTTGTGCCTGGGCAGCTCCGAGACTTCTGTTTTTCCAGCTCTGGGATGTTTTGCCGGGTGGTGTGGGAGGCCTGGCGTGAGCTTGGAGGTCCCTTTGCCTCGGTAGCTGCTGTGAAGTCCCTGGGCTCCCGGGAAGCCCCCCTCGGTGGCAGATCCCTCCCACGGCTCTGAGCAGTTCCTGCTGAGATGCACATCAGCAGATGCATCAATCACCAGCACGCCCRTGGCGTGAAGGCTGCGTTCCCACGTCTGGCCTCAGAACTTGCAGCCCTGTTTACGCGTGCTCCCTGAAACCAGCGGCCCTGACTCTGCTAAACCACACTAAAATGCTGCTCTTTGCTTGAATGAAGCGGATGTGGAAGCTGGCCTTGTTGCATGTAAGCACAGTGGGTTGCTCYGTGCTGGATGCCATGCAAGCATCCTTGGATTTAACAGGCTGCATCAAGCGAGGCTGTGTGCGCTTAACAGTTAATCACTTCTCCATTCCATTAAAATTAAATTTGCAAGTGCTGGCCCAGTAAGAAGCAAATCTAGTGCAGCTGGATGCTGGTCTTTAAAGCTTCGTGGCAAGGGGCCAACTGGCTGCCCCATAGCTCTTCACACTACAATAGGAAAAATGCCTCCAGTGGGAAACTCCCTTTCCTTTCAGCTCTTCTCCAGCAGAAGTTAAGGGCACAGGCTCSAGTGGGTTGGCCTGGCCCCAACAACAGCACCTTTACCTTTAGAGGAGAGGCTTCTGGCYGCCTGACCAAGGCCCTTGGCTTTGCAGCTGTGTCTTTGTGCTGGCTTCCCACCTGAGGAGGTGGCTAGGAGCAAATTCCTTCCCTTTACTCCAGAATCCATATTCCAGTGAAGCTGGTGGCCGTCCGTCTCGAGGTGGAGACTGGGCACTCGCCCAGCTACTGTTTTCTCATGGATGGAGGTGTTGGTGAGCTGTGAGGGGCAGAGCTGCAATGCAGGTGGGATTGGAGCCTGTCCTGGTGCCCGAGCAGCTCGGGGACACTGCTGTGCACAGCAGGCTGGGGTGCACGAGTGCCCCTCTCCATCCCATCCGTGACAGCCGTTGGGCTGGTGGCCCCCYTGGCTAGCAGCTTCCTCGGGCGTTGCTCACCCTAGGAACAAGTGGCTGCTCCTACAGCCTTTTTTTGTCCAGGGGAGGGTGGAAGCGGCTGCTCCTGGGTCTGTTCCCGCCTGTGGGGTGTGTTTCGGGTTAGCACCTCCCGTAACGCCAATGCCCGCGTGCTCTGCTCTGCCCTAGGCCATCCAGTACATGGAGCTGATCCCCAAGGAGATGCAGCCGGTGGCGGGCACGCAGGGCGCGCTGTTCCGGCGGCGGCAGCTGCTGCGGCAGCTCCCGCTGCACGACCAGGACCCGGCGCAGTGCCGCGGGCTGGCGCCCGGCGACGCCGCGCTCATGGACGCCTTCGTGAAGGCCTACAAGGCCGAGGCGCTCGGCGTGGGCGAGGTGGCGCTGCCCGGGCAGGCCGGCGGCGCCAAGGAGGGCGGCGAGCGCCAGCGGCCCCCCGAGCCCAACGGCGCCGTGGACACCGCGGCCACGCAGCGGGTGAGTGACGGCTGCGCCGCGACGCGGGGACGCTGGGGCTGTGTGTGGCCTTGGGGCATCCCCTGAGCGCCCGTGTCCTGCCTCCATCCTCTGCTTCCTTCCTCCTCTTCCTCCTCCTCAGCCAACCTGTGCCGAGCCACCAAGGTAAGTGCGTGTCCTCCTCTGCAGCCAGAGCCAGTCCAAGTTCCCAAGGAAGCTTGGATGCTGGGCAGGGATTCCCAAGGAAGCTTGGATGCTGGGCAGGGATTCCCAAGGAAGCTTGGATGCTGGGCAGGGATTCCCAAGGAAGCTTGGATACTGGGCAGGGATTCCCAAGGAACCTTGGATTCTGGGCAATGATTCCCAAGGAACCTTGGATTCTGGGCAGGGATTCCCAAGGAAGCTTGGATGCTGGGTAATGATGGAAAATGGGACTTTTTGTCCTAGGGCGATTAGGAGAGCATGAGGGAGTCGAGGTGAGACGCTGCACTTCGTTGTAAATTAGCGAGTGTTTTCAGACGAGCTTTCTAGACTAGTTCAGGCAGAAAACGCAAGTCACTGCAGAGCATCTCAGCCTAACACAGAGCTGGGAATGTGGGGAAAATAACTCCAGAACCTGTAATAACTCCAGAGAATTGAGACTGTGCCTCTCTCTGGACATAAACACAATCCCGTAGGAAAACAATGAGTTTCTCCAACATCCTTTACACTCTGCGTGGAAAATACAAGTCTGAAGAAGGGCCTGGAGTGGCCATAGTGACTGTTAAACAGATGCTTGGTATAAAACATGAATGTTTCATCCTGGCTCTTGTGGGAGCATCATGGAGCAGAGCATTTAAAGCTGGGGAAGAAAAAGGCATCTGAGTGTTTTTGAGCAACATTTTTCTGGCCATTACTACACTGCGATTGTAACACATCAAGTGCAGTCGATTTTCATTCCATATTGGGTAATGTCTCCCGTCCACTATGTCCTTTTCTATTAACATGTATCTGACTTTCAAAGTCCAGCATTACAGCAAAAACTTTTCACTATTGCAACCAAACATTGAATTGGACAAAGTATAAGCTTAAGAAAAAAAAAAAAAGCCAAAAAAGGAAGGTTTCCATTAAGCTCATTAATAAAAGTCATCTTAGCTAYAAAAGTTTATTTAGCCTACAAGTTTGTGTTTCCAGATAAATACATAACTGTGCTGTTATTCTCCGTAGAGTTCAAGGCATTATTTTTCTAGGGGCAGTAGCTGAAGCGTGAGCTGCCTCGGGGCCAGGAGGAGCTGCAGGGCTCCGCTCAGACTAACGCAGGGGCAGCCAAGGTCGGCGTGAGCAGTAAATGCTGCGGCTCTTGCCGTACCAGAGACAAAGCCCTATTTCCCACCAACAAAAGACCATCCGGAATGATGTCATCCATCACGTAGAAGCTGAGGGAAACTGCCACAGACTGAAGCACCAAAAGTTCCACAGGAACTTGAGGAAAAAGTTCTTAACAGTGAGGGTGCCAGAGTCCTGGCACAGGCTGCCCAGAGRGGTTGTGGAGTCTCCTTCTCTGGAGATCTTCCAAACCCGTTTCAATGCAGTCCTGTGCTCTGGGTGACCCTGTGTGTGCAGGGCGTTGGACTAGGTGACCTCTGAGGTGCCTCCCAACCTTAAGCATTCTTTAATTCTGTGACCACTGCTGCTGTGGCCGTCCTCGGTGCTGTGGGAGCCAAGCGGGAGCACGGCACGAGCCTACCGCCTATTTAGCAGGTTCCTGCGCTGCTCGGAGCCTTTGCTCACTGCCGTTCCTGCCCTCCATACCTTTGCAGTGGTGCATTGCAGAGATGCCCTGGTTGGGATGCCTGGAGAGCAAAACCCAGCACACACCCAGAGCACGGCGGGGTTGGGGTGCGCGGGTACGCAGCTGGTGCCCCCAGGCAGCACCAGGCACTGATGGGCGCTCTCCTTGGCAGCACTGCGAGCTCTGCAAGCAGCCCGTGCCGCCCGACTGCCCCGTGGTGTACGCCGACCGCGCCGGCTACTCGCGCCAGTGGCACCCGGCCTGCTTCGTGTGCTGCAAGTGCTCCGAGCCCCTCGTCGACCTCATCTACTTCTGGAAGAGCGGCGCGCTCTGGTGCGGGCGCCACTACTGCGAGAGCCTGCGGCCGCGCTGCGCCGGCTGCGACGAGGTAGGGGCCCCACCGCGCACGCGGCCCTGGCYCTGCACGGCCACAGGGAAGGGGATCAGGATGGGGCAGGGGGCCCTGGCACAGGGGAGCACGGCGGCGACCTCGTCCTGTGCACTTATCTGGGCACGGGCACTAGCTCGGCACGTTAAACTGACACTTTAATGGCTCGACTGCAGCCTGTGCCCCRGGCTGCGCGGCGCGCGGGGGAGGCCGTGCACTTTATCCACGCGCTCCCTGCGGGGCGGTCCCGGCAGCTGGTGGGTCTAATGGGTTCCACGCCGCGGGCACAGCCCTGACGCGCTCTGCTTGCTCCGCAGCTCATCTTCTCGGAGGACTTCGAGCGGGCGGCGGGGCTGGCGTGGCACCGGGCGCACCG